CATTTTCAGTAATATTTAGAGATATAGAAAATTCATTTACAGGATTTCTATGTACAGTTTTTTCAGAAAAACAACTATTAAAAGACGTATTGAGTGTTTGATTATTATTAGAATTTATTGCTAGTGGGTTATTATCAGTACCATTAATAATTTCAGTTGTAAAAGAATTATTCAGATAACTATTTAAAGGTGAATTATCCATAATATTCAAAGCTGCTTTGAGCAATTGGGTTGTGTTTAAGTTTTGACGCTTGGGTTTTGGTTTACGAATTTTATGTTGTACACCCAAATTAATTTGACCATCCTTTCTGGTTTTTTTGATGACTCGATGATTTTGAGATCTCCTTGTATGTGATCTATTTGTTAAATCATCATTCTTGATGGAACCAAAATAATTAGTAATTTTTGAAGACATTGTACTCTCTCTTTGTACTTGTGGATAAAATGATTTAGTTGAGAACAAAGATGTCCTTGCCTTAGGAGCTTGTTCTGTTAACTTAGGCACTTTGTTTTGAACGGTATCAAAGCAATCCTTTGATAAGTGTCTTTTCAGTTTAGACACATTCTCCTTCACATTCGATGAGCTCACTTCAGTTAAAGACTTTCTGTGATACAACTTAGGTGGTTCAGCATTCTCAAAGGAAATCTCATGTGGTGTCCTTAAATTAGCACTTGGAGAATGCTTCTCTGGAGTTTCAGGTACTATACTGTCTTCATCCAATATTGATTCAATATCTTCTTTATATATGGTGTTAATATTTCGATTCTCAATATTTTCTTTGTCGTGCAAAGGATCTTTCCTCACAAATATACCAGAAAAACTTTTTCTTGGAGTTTCAGGATTTACATCCACCAATGGCATTCCCTCATCATCATCAATTTTACTAGCAAGATCTTCAAAACTTGTATATTCAGAAATATCTTTGCCCTTCTTAGCAAAAAATCTAGGTCGAGCCAGAAGTGCAGAAGGTGTATCTAATTAGTAATAAATTGTTAATATTGAAAATAGTTTTTGTGAAGGACTTATAATTATATTCAAATAATATTAAAGCTATGAAAAAATATTAAAAACATGCTTTCTCATGAATAATGATGCAAACTGGATATGAATATTTACTAGAAGTTGCTAGAAGAAAATGATCTTTATTATGCAGTCACCAGCTATAAAAAAATATCATTAAAGCATGCTTTATCATAGAGAATAAGGTAAAACGACTGAATAAATGCTAGGAAAGCTTATACATTGAGCAAATGAATTACATAGTTAATAAATGTATTATTATGTATGGCAATAACAATTAAATTACTAATCAAATAACACACATAAGAAAATTTTAAAATACACTAAGATATAGTAATGCATCATTTGTTAAATGATATGCAGCAAATAAATATTGTGATTTGAAAATATACCTGTACTTTAATTTACCATACAACCATATATATAATCAAATACTGATTATGTCAGCAGTTTTTAACTTATAGATTGTTAAAAGCATAATTATTATTATTAATTATTGAAATGTGTGACAATTAATACCTATTACATTACTGAAAAAAATGATCATGCTTCAATACTATTAATGGACCATGCTTCCGTTAACCAGTAACACCATTATTATTAATCAATTCCCACACTCTTTGATTCCTGAATACAGACCTAAACAAGGGGTGTTATGGAAAGGAGAATCATAACGTTCTGGACTCGAACTCAATTCCAGTGGACTCATATGTCCTAAATCTGAAGAATTATCACTTAAATATAAGTGTCTGGATGAAGGTGTAGTTTCATCTGCCTCACAAACTGTCACAAGTTTATTATTAGCAATACGAGTAGATCGCCGTGGTGTATTTGTATCAATTTCAGAGAGGATAGAACCAAAAGGCTGTTTTCTGTTTAGAGGGCTAGGAAACAGCTCCCTTTTCCTAGCAGATAGTTGTGGTGTTGGGGGGAACCGACAACCATGTGGTGTTTGAGCCATTCTAGAAGCTGGAAGGTTTGTTTAATAGACTTATGCAATTTAAAACAACAGATTGAATAGAATAGAACATCTTTAGGTGCGAATTACATACATTTCATAAACCTGTAGCTTTAGAGACTGCTGAAAATAATAATATAGAAAGTGATTTTTAAAAGCACTAAGTTACTAATGCATTTAGAACAAAATTAAATTTTCAAATACATTCAGTGCTTTAGACAGACCACGATATCTTACAATGTAAATTAACAAAAACATTCAATATACTCAAAAAAAATTACATTGAGCTGTAAATATAACCTGTCGACGAGACGTTGAAGTAGATTTATTTTATACGTATAAAAGATGGAAAACAATAATTACCTTATATAAATATCATGTAAACATATCTCGAACCACTCATTTAATTAACACTTTTACAATATTTAGCATCGCGCGCAACAATGAAATACGTTTATTGTACATTTAACCTGTTGACATGAACAAAACAAGAAAATAAAGCGCCATAAATGCAATGAAAGAAATTAGTGTTACCCGATGTTATGTTTTGGCGCCAGCATTGCACTCAAAAGAGCGCCAAATGCAATATTTTCAAAACGAAAATGCAATTGACGGTTGACAGATAACAAAAAATAATTCATTAAAGCAAAGTTTATATGGAATAAAATGACAATGGTACAGGTAAGATGATAATAATAATACCAACAGGTTAAATTTTGCAATATTTATTAATAAAAAACAGGATTTATAATTTTGTACTCACAAGCATCAAAATTGAATCTTGGCCAGATTAAATAGTGAAGTGGATATTTATTGTTGAAGCTTTATGTAGTTCATATGAAAACAATATTTTTAATAATTTAAACTTTCTCTGTGTACCGTTTTATGAAAGAACAAACATATTTAATATGTTACTTCAAAGCCTTTATATTTTCCTCCAATTCCAATATTTCTCGTGAAGATCTTGCCATAGAATCATGCTGATAATTTAAATGTGCCAAAACAAGTTGCATCTTATTTAAATTAGCCAAACTGTTTTCAATAGCATTTTCTTGGGCCACGAAACCTCTTGCCGAATGCATCAACACCTGGAATATAATAAATCAATTTTGAATATAATTTATAGCAAATGTAATATAGAATAATCAAATTTGTTATATTAAATACCTAAAAAATTCTATAAATACTGTATAAATCTTGCTATATCAAATAATTCAAAATATTTATATTAATTCACTTCAAAGGTTTAATGGTGGAAACTGTCAATGTCAACTTGACAGTTCAAATATTGGCATGTAATTGCGCAAATAAATTATATTAAATTGAAATTAGATTAATATAGAATTAAAAATGTATAAAAGGCTCGTTAAATTTTCCAGTTACACCGCTTTGTCTAAAAATGTTAAATTATATCCGTAAGAAATTAAATAACAATATATTCAATTACCATTTGAGGTTACTCATATTGAAAATATTTATTTCAGATTTCAACCAACTGATACAAAACTGTATCACTCTTTATCAAGCAAAGGTTCTAATATAAATCTGGCAAAATTACAAACCCCATTATTTAGAAATATGTTCATCCAAACCCAAGATACTCCGAACCCAAACAGTCTTAAATTTTTCCCCGGCGTAGAAATATTAAAACCAGGCCACACAATGGATTTCCCTACAGCCAACGAAGCCTTCTGCAGCCCACTAGGTAAATAATATTTAAAAATCATCAAGATCCTTAATATAATCCTTGAACACATCAGGTAAATTATTGTTTCGAATTGAGGGAGTTAAGAGTGTATTTTTTGGACACGACTTTATAACAATAACTAAATTGAATGAAGATGTTGAATGGAAAGTACTTAAACCTGAATTATTTGCTACTATAATGGATTTCTTTGCAAGTGGTCTACCAGTTTTAACAGAAGCGAAACCTTCATCTGATACACGTGAGTATAAATAGTAATGAATAGTAAATAGTATGAAGGACAATAATAGTAATATCATGATATACAATAGAAATTAATGAAGAGGACTCAGAGACAGTTATGATGATCAAAGAGTTGTTAGACACTCGGATTAGGCCGACTGTTCAAGAAGATGGTGGGGATATAATATTTATGGGTTTCAAAGATGGGGTGGTAAATATTGATTCTACATTACATATCATTTTCTAAAAATTATCTAATAAAATAAACATCTATAGGTAAGTTTAAAAATGCAAGGCTCATGCTCAACATGTCCAAGTTCTGTTGTTACTTTGAAAAACGGTGTTCAAAATATGCTACAATTTTATATCCCTGAGGTAGTAAGAGTTGAAGAAGTTAAAGGACCAGAAGATGTTATGTCAGAAATGCAGTTTAAAACGTTGGAGGCAAAAATTGAGAATAAATATGAAAGTAAAAAAATAATTGACTAATAGAACTAGTCAAATTTCCAGCTTTAATCATTTCAGAACAAATACCTAGATTATATTTTATTTAGTTTAATCGTAGTACAAATCACATAGTAATAACAAATTTGGCAATAAAATGGTAATAAATTATAAATTCTAGGATATGCAGTAAGACTGAATGTTTGTTTTCTAGTAGGTTTACTTATAAAAATTATCATCGGACAAGATAATTAATACTTCTTCACTCATACCACAAAATTCTACAAACTTAAAAAATAAATAAAAAAAATATAGTTTAATACTAAGTTGAGTATGTTAAATTAATATATTTTTAACTCTTTCAGATGCAAAGAAATTTGTTATATATCAAAAGGAATGATTTGTAAATATATATATGTAAATGTTATAAAATTGTGCTTGTGTATATTTCAACTAGCAGTATGATTATATAAAATATATTTAGTAAATCACAATATTTATCTTTATTCTATAAGATCAGATTCATCCCACAGATCCGAATCAAAGTTATGTTTTTTTAAACATGCATTACTTCTATCCTCAGGATTTGGCACTTGTGTGAATTTTCGTTTTATAATTTTATTTATAACATATATTTCTTTTTTAATATTTTCTTGTCCCACTTCGTACAAATCAGTTTGGTTTTTCTTTGTTTGTTTGTTACTTATTTCAAACAATACTTTATTAACTAAATCTGCAAACTCATACTTTTGTAAAACTACACAAGGAGTAAAAGTCTTTGGTTGAAAATAATTTAAAAAATCTTGTAATTCTTGAAAGCTTGCATGACTAGAGTAACAAACTCGTACACAGTTCTTATTTATATTTGAGATTGGTTTATCCTTCTGCAAATTCTTCCAAAACATTGCAGATGGTTTAATAAGCAATTTAATCTTATTACTACCTTCATGATAATCCTCACATGATTTATTATACTGGCATGCATGAATTCTTGTAACTGATGCATCTAATGTGACCGATTTGTCTATTTCTGATATATATTTATATTGATCAAATAAATCCTGTGATACATGAATCGGCATAGATGTCCTTTTCGCTAGTTCAATAAATACAAATTCAGATCCATACTTTGCAGGTAATTGTAATAGAACTATATTTTTGTTGTTTGATTTTAACCATTTATTTGATATCCTAAAAATTTCTTCAAAGCTTTCAAACTGTGATGGAAAATACTTGTAATCCTTATCAAAAAATGTTGTATCTAAATAAATATTGTTGAATATTTTGGGTGTGCCTTGGGCAGTATGCAGTCTTTGCATTTTTTTGTATGAACCTACAGACAACCTTATGTCTCCTGTGTATAAAATTTTAAAGGTATTCGTTTCAAATAGAAACATCACGGATCCTGGACAATGTCCTGCAGGCAGCGCGGTAACATACAGAGATTCATCTTGACCATCATTTAATAAATGAATTAATTTAGAATCTACAAATATATAAAGGTGTGAAATATCTTAATAATCTATGAATTTATATCAATTCCAACGTACGTCCTATGTCTAATTCGACTAAATGGTCTGCAAGTCTAGGAAATTGTTGTTTTAAAAACACAACTGATATAGGACTTGCATATAATTTCCCAGGAAAGTCGACGGTGTCTTCTGAGGCTTCTTTGAGTCCTACCATATGATCTTGATGGCAATGGGATAGAAAAAATAAGGAGGATTCGAGATTTTGGGGCAGAAATTTGTCTACTGATATACCAGGGATTTCGGGGATAAAACCATCGAATGTACTCATCGTATAAAAAGGATATAGTATTTAATATGACTTTATTTTTGTTGACTTGATATAAACGAATTGGAAAATCAAAATTAAGGTTAAACGCATAGAGATGTACCTGAGTTAGAGATGACCCTCTCAGTGGTAGTACAAAGGTGATTAAAATTTGAAACGGTGTTAACTTAAAACGGGTCCTTGAGGGAGCGGATTTTAATTATCCTTAGTACTCTACGGCTCTATATTATTTTTTTATAATATATCAGATACTCTTAGACTAAAATTTAATGAATAAATTATTATTATGTTAATGAGTAAAGATAAAAACCTCGGTAGAACGCGATCCTCTCACAATCTGCCGCGCCACGGACGCCGCGTTCTGTACATTAACTTGGACCCGCTCTGCCAGCCGGCGCTTCGAGTCGCTGAACAAGGACCTCGCGCTACTGCTCGAAGCCGAAGCCATCGTGGATTACACTGACTCTATAAATAAGTAAAATAAAAAAAAACATTAATATGTTATTGATAAACATTAATGTATCATTCTTACGATCAAATATTGTAAAAGAAATTTTATATACCGTTTCACAAAAGCATAGCAAAAATGTAAACGATCAATAACTATGTGCCTCGGCCTCGGCTACTCTACTAACTCTACACTTCAATGCTTAAACGTAGACTCAATCCATAATTTGTACTCTATTATCAATTATCTGATCCATTTGACAGTAATTTTATTAAAATTTTATTAATAATTGTATAAAATCTCTATTAATTTGGTTCATTTATGCTAAGGATTATATATATTTTTTTAATTTTTCAATGCAGTTTAGAATTGTATATAATTGTGTGTATCTAACTGTGTGTGCTCTGCACTTTGTTTTTCCACTAAAAATTTTTTTTTGTTAAAAATAATTGTATATAACTTTTACCTCATGTACTCTATTTTTTGGTACATTTGATAATTCCACAAAAAATTTTTTTTGTTAGAAATAATTGTATGATTGTATGTAACTTTTACCAATTTAGTGAATTTTTTAAAATTTCACATAACATAAACTGTTACTGTGTTATATACATTTTGTGCATTCATATACTCTATTATCTGATACATTTTTTTAATAATAATTTTTTTGTTAAAGCATTGATACATTTTTTTAATAATATTTTTGCTTGTTGAGGAGTAGTAATAATTGTATGTAACTTTTACTAATTTTTTTGTTTATTTTTCAGAAATTTAGATAACATATAAACCGTGTTATACATTTTGTGCATTCATATGCACTCTATTATCATCTGATACATTTGATATTTTTTTTGTTAAAAATAATTGTATGAAACCTTTACTAATTTATGTTGGAGCATACGTTTTTGAGAATATTTTTTATTAATTTTCACGTTAATGATTAATTTTAATACCAGTTCATTTATTTCATTGCTCTATTTGATTGTCTTTTAATTAACTTAAACTGCAACAGTGTGCTTCATCTTTCTTTTTATTTATTTATTTTTATGTTTATTTAGAAATAGTGTGCTCTGCACTTTGTGCACTCATATGTACTCTATTATATGATATATTTGATAATTCAATTAAAACATTTTTTTGTTAAAAATAATTGCATGTAACTTTTACCTCACGTACTCTATTATCTGATACATTTTATAACTCCACTAAAAATGTTTTTGTTAAAAATAATTGTATGTAACTTTTAGCAATTTGGTGAATTTTGTAGAATTTCAGTTAACATAAACTGTTACTGTGTTGTCTACATTTTGTGCATTCCTATGTACTCTATTATCTGATACATTTGTTTAATTTTTTTTGTTAACAATATTTGCATAAAACCTTTACTGATTTATGTTGAGGCATAAGTTTATACGCATATTTTTAAATTTTCACATTAATGGTTCAGTTTAATATCAGTTCATTCATTTCATTGCTCTATTTGATAGTCTTTTAGTTAACTTAAACTACTAACAGTGTGTGCTCCATTTTAATTATTATTTTTATTTATTTATTTTTATGTTTATTTATCTATGGTGTGCTCTGACTTGTATAATAATTGTATGTTACTTTTAACAATTTTGCACATTTTTTTGAATTTCAGTAAACAAACTCTAGCTGTATTATATATAATTGGTGCATTCCTATGTACTCTACTATTATCTGATACATTTTTTTAATATTTTTTTGTTAAAAATAATTGTATGAAACCATTACTAATTTATACAATAATTCTCAACCTTATTTATACTAATTTAGCTTAAACTTACGTTTATACGAATATTTTCAAATTTTCATATTAATAGTTCAATTTAATATTCAGTTCATTTATTCCAACGATCTATTTGATTGTCTCTATAAAGAGCAGATTATGTTACCATTAAATTGATATTATGCAATTGCGGTTTAAAATTCAATCGAGCGAAAAAAGATTTTGACAATATACACAATCAGATTTAATAAGATGTTATATAATAATTTATAAATGACTATAAGATCAAAAAGTCAATATAAATAAACCAATGGAAATAAATTGACAATTATGTACCCTATAGAAAGATATCAGCCCAGTGAATAAGTTTTATAAATAATTTTTAATGCATGAATTATTGAAGTTGAACAGTCGTTGAAATTTGGATGATTAAAATTAATCGATAAAATTTTGTCTAAAGTAGGTACTTGAATAATGTTTATTTTTTTCTATAATTAGTCAAAAAAATAAAAGTTGAAACTCTTGATAAAAAAAAATAACTCTGCCAACCAACTAATTTAAGCATTCTTCATCAATCATTATGACTCAAAATTAGGTAAATGCAATTAGAATTGCATTTGCCTAATTAAGTGGTTAAAAATAGTTGAATTTTAAAATAAAAAAAACATTACAAACAGTGCTGGATTACCCCATAGGCCCGTGAGGCCCGGGCCTAGGGCGGCACAATTTGGGGGGCGGCAAATTTTTTCGAATATCAAAATTTTAAACCCGAAAAATTGTCACGGCAATTTATTTTAAGGATTGATTCTGATCTAGATTATTTTCTATGAAATAAATGTTATTCGTTTTCTAATCAAACTTATTCAAGGCGCCTCATTAATATTTTTATTGATGTATCATGTTTAAAATAAAAAATATTAAATTGATAAGCTTTTTTGAGAGAAATAAAATAAAACTAGTTGGTATTTTGCCTTGAGGCAAAATACATGAACTTTCCGATATTTGTAAATAATCGACTTAATCAATAAACAATAAATCAGCTTATGAGTGAATAAATGTATTCCGAGTGGATTTATCACACATAACATGAAAACGAACGAACCGTTAACTCGGAGTATTTTCAAAAATCAACAATTTTTATAATTGAACCAGTTTCCGTAGGACTTTAGTGGTTCAGTATGTACATTAAGACTTATCGTTATACCAAGTAAATGGTCTAATTTTAATTTTAACAAACGTCAAAAAACTACTCATTTTCTCAAACTTTGATAAATTTTTCAAATTAAACTACTTGTAGTAAGGCCGTAATATTTCAGTAAGTTATATAAGACCATGATATATATTGCCAAAAAAAGTTCCATAAAAATCGGCTTAAATGTTTTTTTCAACAGTTAATTACAAGAAAACGGCTCGGTAGATTTTCACATAAACCTAATCAGTATCATTCCCAACAAATATGTTTCGACCACTTTTTGATTTTTTAAAATCGATTCAGTAGTATGAGCTTAAATGTGGACAAAAAGTTTAACACTTTTTTCCAAATTACAAATTCGTCGCATAAAACTGACAAACGATAATCCTCATTGAGATACATCAAATGGCTTTTAAACTTTTGAAATCAGTTCAAGCGCTTTTGAGCAAACGTCGATGAAAGTTTTAGTTTTGACAAATGCCAAAAAAAACGATACTAATTTTTGCAAACTTTGACGGATTTTTAAAATTAAACGGCTTGTCATAGGGCCGTAATATTTTAGTATGATCTAGAAACCCATGATATCTATCAACAAAAAAAAATCGTGAAAATCGCCGATTTTTTTTTTTAACTTTATTACAAGAAAACGGCCCAGCCGATCTTTACCAAAAACTAATCAGGTCGATTCCCAACCAATATCTTTCGAACAGTTTTTGAATTTTCAATACGATTTAAAATTGCGGGCTAAAACGTAGACGAAAAACTTTTCACTTTTTTGCTATTTACGAAGAAACGGTTAGGCCGATCGTCGCACAATTGATAAACGATAGTCCTCATCGAGATACATCGAATGGCTTTTGAATTTTTGAAATCGGTACAGCCGTTTTTGAGAAAACGTCAATTTACAGCAAAAAATCTGTTCACGCACACGCACACGCACACACACACACACATACTTTTTCCAAATTTGGTCTCATTCCATTCAGAACGGCTTAAAACGTCGAAAAAACATAAAACTAGCTAATCGGATTTTTTGACGAAAACATAAACTTCCCCTTCGGGAAGTTAATAAAATAAAATTTTTGGAAGGAATAAATAATTAAATTGATATCAAATAAATAAATAAATTATCAAATTGATAAGCTTTTTTGGGAGAAATATTGAAGCTCTGCTCATTTCTTGCAACTTTGTTAAGGTGAATCATACATAATCTTATTTTAGTTCGGAAATTAACATAATATATTAATTGTTATTTTATGATAATTTAATTATTTCGTTGTTCGTATATATTTTTTTCTTTAAAATGATATTTATGAGATAAAAGTGAACCTAAACTAAAATATCTGCCAATTTGGTGTGCTTATGTTCATTGATTATTTTTGACCGCCAATTGGCATTCCGTTCACAGATAAGTCATAGTAATTTGAAAAACGAAACGTAAATGAAATTGTTTATAAATATTTACTTTTCAAAACCTTCTGAACATTTTGGCATACCTTAGGAAAAATAAATGTATGATTGTGTATTTCCGGTTACATTTTTTTGTTGACGTTTTTTAGACAAATCAGCCGATTGAGTGATTCAATTGTCGGAAAGATGCGCTGATTAGTTTT